AAGTAAAGGTGACACTAATTTTTAGCTGAATACCAGAATCAAAGGAGTACAAAATTCTGTGGACTAAACTGAGCTTCAGAGACCTGAATTGTAATTTCACATTGCATTTTAACTCCTTGTGGAAAATAATCTGTCCTTAAAAACAAACAAACAAACAAAAAACCCATACCTCTGTTGATTTATTATACTAAAACCAGCACACTTAACAAATGTATGGTGGGCTTACCACACTGACTTCAGGTGTTTGCCCCATGTACACAGAGCAGAAAGCTAAATATTAGCTGGTGTAGTAAAGCAGCAGTGTATGTTTGTAGGGAGGGACCTACCTCCAATCACTGTGCTGCCTGGATAAGGGCTGGTAGCAGCTCTAAACTACACTCAAGGGAGCACAAGGAGCTGTTTTGGAGATGCAAACTCTTGGGAGCAATTTGCTGAGAAAGGAAGCAAATAAAGCAATCTCTGCTCTACATGCCATTACCATGTCAGCCAAAATTGCTGCCCAGCCAAGCAGAAGGGAAAAGAAATGACCCAGTGCCTCTGAAAAAGCTGCTATTACAGGAGTTTGGAGGCCCTGCGTACCTCTCCCCTTACTGGGAGTACTGCAGTTCTGGTGGGAATTCAGCTGTTTGAGTCTGCTTGTTTTGCCCATCTGCATACCATTACAGTGACAAGACCATTTTAAATAAACTTACCAAAGCACTGGAGCTTAACAGGGTCGTAGTATGTGCCTTGTTTGCAGTAGCATTCATAACCTGGCTGTGTATTCAAACAGAAGCCATTTTTACAGATTTCTTGTCCAAAGAGCTGGCATTCGTCAGCATCTGAAAAGAAAACATTAAAGGCTGCATTATCATAATTATTACAAGGCCACACAGGAGAGCAGAATGGAATAAAGCCTGTACACGTCTGTTCAAGTAAAGTGCACTTTAAACAGTGGGGCCCAGCAGCACAGATATTCATAGAAAAAATAAATCTGATATAAAAGAAGCAAAATAGAAAAGAGGTAGCCAAAACAGAAAAGAGAAAACTTGTGCACTATAACTTTCTCTTGTCAGAGTAACTCTTATGGCACATACACATGGTAGATGAACTGCACAGAGTAAAGCCTGCGATACTGGGAGAGCCTGCAGCTCCTCTATCTAGCCTTCAGGCAAGCAAAACAGATTCAATATGGCCAGGCCTATGCTTTTCAATATAATTTGCTTTACGCAAGGGATTCTTACCATGAAATCCAATCAAATCACATCATATTACTACAGAACTAACTAAGCAGTTATGCTTATTGACTTTCGTCGCTGCTCTCCTTCTTTCCCCGCAGTTTGGCAACTGCTGTGTGTGGCAGAGAATCCTCCTATCGGCACTGTTAGTGATTTCATTATTCAAACGTATCAAAAAGTTCACTGGAGACTTCCTTTCCCATAGAAATAATCGTGTCTGTTGCAAAATGCAGAGCTGCAGCTCTTACAGCCACCAAGTAACAAAGAGAATCCATCACGCCTTCAGATGAATTATTTTTTTCCAACCCTCTTTCATTTGCTCAGCCTATCTGCTACACTGCTAAAGCACTCTGTTGAAGCTAGGTTGGTATGAAAACAGCAATAACAAGCACAGTGTAAAGTAGGTGATTTTCTCTCAATACCAGTTGTCTCAATCCACTGTCTTTTATAGACTTACTCCCCACTAGGGCAATATATACTTCAGCCTCAAACTGTCATTTCCAGTTGTACATCAGTTTTAAAGGCAAATTATTCAAATACTTTTTGAGAGGAACTGAAAGAACAATAAAGCTATTTATTTTTACAGTTACTCTTCCAGCCCCTAAGTGGCTTCAAACATTAAATATTTTAAGTTGGACTGCTTAGCAGCAACACAAAGATTAATAAGAAATATTATTTAGCTGGATGTCTGTACATGTATTTCTTTTTGCTGTGGAACAGAGGTATGTGTCTGTCTGGGGAAAAGTGGGAGAACCTGGCTGAGCATATTCACTTCTGACAGATAATTTCAAATGAAACAGGAGCTTTTCCTATATGGAAAAGTTTGCTGACAAGAGCAACAGAAACACAAGTTAGTGTAACAGAGCAAGATCACATTATTAAAAGGACTTGTCCGTTTATTGTCTGTCCTCTGTGCCGTTCCTAAGGTTATTAGGAAATAAACTTATAAAAACAGAAAGAGTCTCATTATGGCAAGGAGTTGCTGAGGATATTTCCAGATTGAAATATTTCCGCCCTCCAGTACTCATGGCAGCTAGAGATGTTACCAACCCTGAGGTAGCATAACAAAACCAATGAAGATTTGGTTTGACACATCTGGGCATCGTGTGCACACACTGTATCCCAAATCTACAGAAATCTCTACACAGATAAATAACATGCTTAAACAATCCTCAAATAAACATACCCTCACAGAATGTTAGGTGCTTCAAGAGAAGCTCTGTAATAGTATCCTGACTTGTCTAGATGGGAACTGTCAGCCTAGCCATCTCATGCCATCAATCATAGGTCTGGAGTGATCCCATGACATCTTTTTCTTTAATCACTCTAAGTTGGTCAACAAAGAGACACCTCTAAAGAGTGAAGATCTTACACAAGAACCCACTTTAAATGTCCAAATTAGTTTGAATGAATCTGGGTATTAGTGCCTCACAACTTTCAGTATCTTTTCCATGCCCCTGTGAAGTAAAGGACAGCATGTTCCTCAATTTGTGAAAAGCAAGGAAAGGTACAAATAAATACTTCATGAGGACAACACTGAAAGATAGAAGGAGGGCAGAGAATGGAACTATTCACTAACCGGATAGGAAAAATGACCTATCAGTATCCTGGTCATTGAGGAAGGATAGTTAAAAAATGTACAGATAACAATCATACGAAGAAAATATTTCACCATCAGTTTTGTCATCTCTCAGATTTAAGACTGACAGAGCTGGGATTTAGCTGGAAGCAACTTTGGCCAATGTTTGTCAACCGTGTGACAGTATGCCTCTATTAATAGTAGCTCTTTAAAAAATATCCAATTTTACTGCATTTTTATGTGATGTGAACACATGGTAATCTCTACATAAATTCTTGATTTGTAAAACAGTGATTCTAATAGGAAAAAATATATACAATTTGTATACTTTTTAAAGATACTGCAGTTACTGCATAACTCAAACACGATACATTGATTTTAGGTAACTAATACAGTGCATGACACCATATGCTGAGGAAAATTGTTTTCACAAATATGAGCGACCACTTTTCAAACAGGAATTTCCCTGATCTCGCTCTTCTCTTAGTGATGTCCACACCCACAGGCTCAGATTTCTGTCGCTCACATTCTCTACAGTCTTTTGTTCAGGAATAATTCCATGAAGTTCTGTAATGAGAATCTCATTGCTGAGCTTCCGTCAGTTTTTATATTCACTCTTTTTTCTAAGTCTAATTTTAACAGAACACCTCCTCCCAGCTGCCCACGCATTTATCTACACAGTTCAGGCTGCTTTGCATTTTGTATGTAAATGACTATTTGAGGTTTACAGTCTTGGCATCTAGTCTTACAGTATATTGCACTTAATACAAAATAAACCGGAATATCACAGAGACCGTATAATTGATATTCTGTCTGTCAAATGATGATCTTCAGCACTGTTCCGTATCACAAGCGGTTTTTGTCACCTACTAAAATTTGAATCAATATGTTTACATTGCTAGCTCACATTTCTAGTTAATCAACTACCAGAAATTTTGAAGGAATTGATACAAGTCAGCACTGACCTTTGTAATTCTCAGCAAGAAGCCCATAAGATGATTCTTCAGAGGGAATGAAGCCTTTCCCTTCAGGACACAAATCAGTGAATTCAGCTACGAGAGAGGGAAAAAACAAAAATTATGCTGTCCAGAAAAACCTACTTGCATATACTTGTTATATACATGTTGCAGGATAGTTTGAGAAATCTGAGGCAACCCACACATATATGCCATCATGCAAACCTTCAGCTAAATGGGTGATGCTAATTCTACAGCTCAACTTTTTGCTGTTCTCAGAACTACTAGCAGAGGAAGCTTTGAAAAACAGAGCTAGGATACCCAGCTATCACAGACCTGAATGTAAACTCATTTATCTAGCTTCTTGTCTGAAGAATATAGTCCTCATTGGGTTACATGGTGCATTGGTGTTATAACAATGTCAGTAGCAAAATTATTGTAATTAAAGCGAGTTTTGGCCTTTCTGAGCTACACTGCAAGTTGTAGTGTAGACACATCCCAACTGAGATACAACCCTCTGTGCATGTACTTCAGTGAAAACAGTAATTAACTGCAACAGGAGAACATCGTATGGATAACAGAGGATAACTGTTTAAAGTGTCTTGGAGACTGTACAGAATCAAGTAAGCCCATCCAAGCAGAGTGTTTACCTAATGTGCTTCATTACAGTTTCACTGATCTTAAACTACAGCTAAAACAGGAACTAAACAAGATGATGCATACGAATAGAAATTAATCTTTAGTATTTAATATAAAGAAGTTTATGCATGTTCTCTTTTAACGTGATTTTTTCCAGATGGTTCTGAATTTCAGCCATCACTGTTTATATTTCAAGTATTGTTTTCAGTATTTGTGACAAGTATCATATGGCTGTGTTTTTCTAATTTAATATTTAGAGGTTACACAATAGTCTGCAGACGGCATGATTAGCTGTACTGATCAGTAAGTAGGAAAATGTAAAACTATCATCATAATATATATCAGTAATTCATAGTAATGTAGAAACAAGATTAAGAAGAATAACTACAGACTCAAAAACATGTGATGCTTACCTTTGTTTTCCAGCTTGTGGAAAAAAAATCTAACTAAAATGATGTCATTGCATCTATACCTTCTGTGATAATCCATTTCTGTTTAAAATCTATTGGAGATAATGCTGCATGGTAACATTTTATCCCTATGTTTACTACGGCAAAGCAAATGGATTTAGACTAGATCTAATTATTCCTATTGACTTTTCCTCTACAGAAATCTCTCCTGAAAAAATCATGGCGATATTCTACAGAATATGGAATCTAATGTGAAAGCCTTCTCTGACAGCAAAGCATACTGAAGTTAACAAAAATACAGTGCTTCAAAAATTTACACGTGGATGGACAGCTTCATCTTACCAGTTCCAAAGACAGGGCATGGGAAGATTTCACAGTTATCACCCCAGCCAGCACCCAAAGTACAGCAGCATTCTTGTTTGGTTACATTGGACGCAAGCACGTTGTCACAGAAGTTAGCATCGTTCAGATTGTAGTAGCACTCCTTCTTTCCATCTTCATGTTGATCAGGCTCTATTGGCAATTCTAAAAGTGAAGAGAACATCTGTGTAAGATGTTAGGTGAAATAAATAGATTTGTTTTACAGGAGAGTCATGTGAGTCATGGTTCTGAAGTCACCACAGTGAAGAATAGTGTTGCCTGGTTGAGAAGAAAATAGCTACAAATTCTGTTTTCACCTTTTTGTTCTTGGGAAGAATGATGGGAGTTCATAACTGTTCTTTTTCAGACCCATTCTGAAATTTTTCATACTTGCACTTCCTTCACTTTCAAGCAGATCTATCTGCTGTCACGGCTAACTATCTAGCTATCATGCCCAACGCTGTGCTTTTCATGTATGAACATTGATGCCCTTCACACACATGACCAAACATTACACAACCTCATTTTACAGATAAAGAAGGTAAGGCATAAACTGGAAAGAACTGATTCTCCAAAGAATGAACATTTCCTTTTGATTTTACTGGGGAAAAAAAAGCACAGTCCATATTTGAAAACAAAGCCCTTTAAGATTTTGGCAAAAGTAATCGTGCAACTCTGCAGCAAGCAGAGGAATATAATACAGATGTTGAGTTAACTGACTCTGCATTTTACTTTAAAATAGGCTTTACAGGCATCCAGCCAAGAAATAGTATTTTTTGCCCTTTGCAGTTGAGTGGGTCCTCTCCTACTATATATACACAAGGACTTGAGGAAAAACACTCTTTCCCATAGATCCAATAAAAGACATTAACAGTCAAAAACTTTTAAAAGCAAGGCACTTAAGTACGCAAAGGAGTGAGTTTGAAAAGAAATACATAGTTTAAGCTTCTATATTTTCAGAATCCTGTCCATCTAACCTTGCACTTGCATAAAAGTTCTCTTCAAGAGCTCAGTAACAGAAACTATCACATAAAATTGTTAATCACACTTGATCAATATGACAAACTCTTCATGTGCCATCTGTAAGGTAACTGAACAGCTCACATTTATTAATCAAAACAAAAATTTTGTTCTTTAGTTTTAGATAAGCCCTGAGATGATTTGTACACTCCATTTTCTTCTTGTGAAATGCCTCATGCCTAGCACTTAGTTTAGAAATACTGAAATTCATAAAAACACACTACAAATAATTGCATATTGATTGATTTTCCACTGTTTGAGATTTCATCTGTTTCTTCTCAGTCTGTTGCACAATTTGCCAAGCGGCAGAGAACTGTCAAGCAATGTATCCAGGTGGGAATTAAAACTCAAGAAGATACTCAAGGCTGCCAGCGTACAAACTCATTGTGTAGCTGGGAGAACCACGTACACTTGACCAGTGCCTGTTTGCCCCTTTTTCTGGCCGTCTCACAGAGGCAACGCTCAGCCTCTTCGCACAAGTTACAGGATGCATCTTTTTCCTTGTCCCCCTCACATAAGAAGAAATGGCTGTGAGGTGGGATCTCAAAGGCAGTGATTGCCCAACAGATGCTGAACGAACTCCAGCTCAGTACCTAAAACCCGTCCTGCCTTCCCGGTAGGATGCAAGCAGGTGAGACAAGGCAGCTTTATTGAGCATGCAAATAACAGATTCATTTTCAAAAAAGCAGTAAGGATTGCCTGTTACTGCAGTCTAATAGTATGAACGTGTGTAATAGTTCTTTTGGCTTCTCATTCCAAACAGACAATTAGATTTATTTCTATTTTCCTCAGAAAAGCGCCCGTGTCTGTTTTTGGAGCTTGAGGAGCTGGCAGACTCCTCTACTCAAATGTAGTACAATGTTGCCACCTACAAGGCACATTTTCCTTTGCTCCTTTGCCAATATAAGTAAGTTGTACATTAAAGGAAACACCCAGCTGAGTGCTTATTTCATCTTTGTTAGTTTAGTCTGTGGTCTCCCCTCATCAGATAATTACAATTTTCCATAATGTGCTGAATTTCATAAAGTACGGTGGTTTTGTGGTATCAGCTCCTGTCCAATAGGAGCCAAGTTAAGACTATCGCGTGTCACAGAAACTAGGGAACTGAATTTGTTATTCCAAGGTGAGAGAGCAGTACTTGAGCTACCAAATTATACATTTTCTTTGGCTGTCTGCCATCTGTCTAACTGAATCAAAGCCAAAAGCTTTTAGCAGGAGAAAATGCATGGCACTTTTCACGCTGTTTACCAGAGAAAGAACACCAGAAGCTGCCCCAAGAGGGAGGGGAGACAATCTCATGGTGTGATTGTTTATTCCCATTTTACATATGATGTGTTGGTTTTTCCTCCCATTATCTGTTCAGCAGCTTAAAGGTCTGTTGTTTACACAGCTGTGTCTGAGGGTTAGTCAAGCAGGCTTCATGAATGTTTGGAAAGCAAATGAGACACAAGTTTTATTATTATTATTTTTTTAAATCAAGATGAGCCTACGTCTACAAGCTTCTAATTTCTTTCATACACTATTAACCATTTAGTAAACAGGCTGTTTTTGAAAGTGGTTTCAGCAAGTATTTGGACCAAATATTATAGGAAATGGACTTGCTATTTCATACTGTTGCTTGTTTTGTGTTTTTTGCTGTTGCTAGAAAATGTAAAATATCCCTCTATCTAAGGCACTCAGGTAAAGTAATTTTATCAGGTTGATACAACTGTTAAATTAGCAGCCTGGAAGACAGAATCTATCTGCTGCTAGATGCAGCATGAAGTATTTGTCAGAAATAGATTTATAGATCTTAATGTAAGCTTGATCTAACAATATGCTTCAGTATGTGACCAACGCAAAAATGCGCATTAGTATTACAGGATTCAGTGGGTAATTAGGACATTAGTATGTAATTAGACTCTAGCATACACATTTATTTATCTAGGTAACAGCCCGAGACAAAGCCTTAAAATAAATTTACCTGATGAGATCTTTTCTACCTCATACTTATCTCTTAATTGCACACAGAATCAGTGATGTAGTTGTTAAAGTGGAAATGTGGGAATCATTACAAAATCATGACTTCTAAAACTTCAGCAAAGACTCGAGTGATTGAGCATGAGTAACACACTTTCTGAGCTCCATTTTCAGAAATAAAGTAAAAATGTATTGGTATGTGCCTACAGTCAAGGTGTAATCTTACAGATTTCTCAACTGGCTCCGCATGTGGCAATCTACACCACCTAATGCGTGTGTGCAGTGCATTACAGACACAGGTATATACGTATGCAATTCAGCAAGCAGTAAAAGTGATGCATGTTTACAAATGGTATCTGAGACCACGTCCTCATAGATGACGGAAACTCAGATTGTGATATAGCTCAACCACCTCCCTGGGGAGCCTATTCCAGTGCTTAGCACCCCTTTCTGTAAAGAAGTTTTCCCTGACATCCACCTAAACACACCCTGGCGCAACTTGAGGCCATTTCCCCTCATCCTGTCACCTGTTGGGGTTCCTGCTCCAGCTATCTTCCTTTTTTTTCATTCCTGTAAGCCTGAATTTTTCTCATGGGATTTTGTAGAAGTTTCAGCTTGTCAGTCAGCTGTTTATGGTATTTCACAGGCAACATCTTGAGTGCTGCTGAGTGCTGTATTCAACAATCTAAATACTTGTTGCACTTGGATCACAGATGTTTCAACCTTGTTTACAGGTCAGTGATACCACAAAACAGCCACAGCTTTTTAAGTTCTGAAGTCTGCATCCAGCAGAGTCAGTTTTTTTAAAGCGTTCAGAAGCTACAACTGACTACAGTGTAAGAAGAAAACAGAAAAATACCTAGATTTACATTCCAGAGGGGGAAAAATGTGCAAGTTAATTCCTTTGTTAATTGTTCTCTGTTGCTCCCTATACTGAGTTGCTTCTAGATCAGTCTAGAATACTGGAGGCAAATCTGTGAGTTCAAAGTTTGTCCTTAAAGAGTGTATTTGCAGTACTATTTGCAACATCCAGAACACCTGAATGAGACCTCACAAATCTTTGAAGATGGACACTGAGGAAAAACAGGACAAAAGATGGAGTAAAATGTGCAAAGGGTGCACAGGCACCGACAATTCAGTGTTTAGGCTTTCCTAATCACCTTTTCTGAGGCCTCACATTGGTAATATTTAATGCTATGAGAAGACCACTATATACAAAGTTTATTTTTAATCATATCCTCCCTTGAACACTGCCTAAGAATACCAAGAGGTCATTGTGAAGAATAAAAAATAAAAAAAATAAAAAATCATTCATGCTGTACAGTTGATGTCGTATCACATTTCATTGTCACAGCACAGCAAATATGAGATTTTTTGATCTTAACTGCTCCAGGTGTTCACTGTTATTACCAAGGCTGTTGGTATAAAAAACTTTAACAGGTACTTCTGGTATATTTTCACTGCTAACGATGCATTGCAAATATTATTTAGTCCTAGACACAGCTTCTCTCATGCACACATATTAAGGACAACAAAGTTTTAGTTTCCTGTTATTAGCACAAGAATTTCTACCAACTTTTCCTTTGCACGGGTTACATATTCACTGAAAATCATGCCAAACATTCAAAAATCTGCTGGTATTTTACCTGGTGAGGTACGGAATCGACACTGTCCGGTCATGGGATCGTACTCCTGGTTTTCATCAGAACACAGGCACAGGAAAGAACCATCGACGTTTTCACAGAGGGCTTCGCCACATACCCCGCTCAGCATTTCACATTCATTCACATCTGGGTGAAAAGGCAGAAACATAAATCAATTCAAAGCCACTACTGACAGTTTATTCTTTTATCTGCTGTATCTGTGCCAATGTTGTCTGCCAGATTTCAGATATGATCTCTGGGGAAGGATTAAAGCCTCACTAATACCTAAGTGGGCTCATAAACAAGTAGTTAGGCCCTTTGAAATAAAGGTACATGAAAGCCACTGTGCAGTTTATAAAAATATTGGTGCTGTTTGGGTCTGCTTGTAGACTGGAACACCAGTTTTCTTTTGTTTCTTTTTGGGGGGGTTGCTTTTTCATTTCTAAATACTTTATTTTCTCAGCACTGTTTCCTTGAGCTTTAAGATTGAGTCTCGTTTCATTTGTTTCCTTAAAAGAGCTACTACAACCAAACTTGTTCTCTTTATTATCAAACTTCCAGTAAATGCAGGGAGTGAAATAAGTGCTGTGATACAGACTGCGCTATAAAAAGAAAGTTCACTTTTCATCTCAAAATCCCATTTTTCCAGTGAACATCCACTGAACAATGAAATCTCTGCCTGCACTTCCACTGCATATGTTCTGTATCTGTGTGAGTCCTCACAGGCTGCTCTGCAGCCCACAAGGGTTATTTTCCTATACAAATTTCCTCTCCCACCTTCAAATGCTCCAAAGTAATAACTATGACTGGCCAACTATTAAACAAACAGAAAAATCCACATATTTTTAACATGGACTCCACATACCTACTAATTAGTCTACCCTGAAATGCTTACTGTTGATGGTGTTGTCTGCTGTTTAAAGAAAGGTCACCAAATACTCTCAGTACGACTTTATTCCCTTTTACGCTGTGAAAGTTTACCACTGAAAACTAGTGTTTCTACTAGTGGCAGAATCTGAAAGTTTTAATTTCTTCATTATGGTTCGGAAATATCTATAATTGAGTGCAGTCTAAAGTGTAATTTGTGAGGCAGTCTTTTATCCTTTTTGCAGAATGAATGAAAATCTACTCTTGTGATCGAACACTGCTTTGTATTTGTTTATTTTTTATAAATACGCATTTTAACTTTGAAGAACATTGCCTGGCCAGGAACTTACGTTTTTCCTAAAATTCTTCTGCTAAATAACCTTCATTGAAATGTATAAACATTTTACAATTGTCCGCCGTATTTCCAGGACTGTGTGTATATTAAAGAAGGTAAGAACTGAAAGACTGAGTTTCGTCCTAATTCTGGCTTGAAGAAATTGTTTAATGAGTACCTTTCCTTGACCTGGTACTAATTTTCTATTAGAAACTTGTGCTGCCTCAGACACTTGTTAGGACCAGCCACTGCTATTAACAACAGACAGAGAAACCTATTACTTAAAAAGAAACGGGCGCTATTTACACATGTATGAAAATCTCACATCTTTTCATGGTGATGGGTGTCTTTCCTGGGGCTTGAAGTCAATGTTAAAATATGTTCAAATACAGTGTGCCTAGGGAGGTGTGCCATCTAATTCAGTCTGCATGTACCACATGCCAGACTTTATTTCCTGTAGGAGGTACTACAGAGTTCTGGTTATTCAGTTGAGAGACTAAACAGATGTTGCATTTAAATAGACTAAAGCATTAAATTCACTCTGTCAGGATTTATACCTGTGCATGGTTCTGACATTCAGAAACAGCATGTTTTCTTGTGTTTTTATCTTTTTCTAGGAGAGAAAATGAGTGGTTCAACTTATTTACTGTTGGTTTCTGTACAGTTCTAGTAACAAGTTCTCCCCACATGGCTAAACAGTTATATTTTCACCTGGCACAGTGTTCAGTGAGCAAAGCACAGCTCAACTTTATTTTGTTAGCACATGACACAACTTCAGTAAAAATGATGAAAAAAGAGATACGTTCTTGTCAGGAAATGCATTTTGCTTATCAGCTGCTTTTTACTTGCTAGAACCTTACAAGAGAGACCACTTGCAAGTGGGAACTCACCTGTACACCCTTGCCCATCCTGTGAGTCCTGATAGCCCTGGTAACAGAGGCAGCGGTAGGAGCCATCCATGTTTTCACAGAACCCGTGGCTGCCGCACACTGTGCCATTCACACATTCATCAATGTCTGCAAAGAAGTATTTAACATCAGCCATGTGACAATCAAAACAGACATTCACGAGGAATGCAGGAAAGCAACTAAAGGGCTGCTTTCGCAAACAGCAGAAAGGAATACACGAAGGACAGACCCGAAATCCTCAAGTGAAGTAGGAAAACGTAAGATTTTGGGAATTGTTTCACTGTTAATTTCACTGGAAATACCTCATGTTAGACAATGATTTTCTTTCAACCGCCTCACACGTGTTTCACCAACCTGCCCAACCTTGGCATAAGGCTACATAGCACAGAATAAGATACAGTTTAAACACAACCATCTCTGCATTTCCTACAGGTTCTGCCAGCGTAGTGTTACACAGTCAACAGCATATGTGAAACTGAGCCCCTCGTGCAAGAAGTGCTCAAGAGTATGGTTACATTCCTTTTGCAGAAGTGCTGAACGCAGGCCAAAGAGTTTATGTGGGACTGAGAAGTGCTGAACATATCTCATTCTGGCACTTGGCACAGAAGAAAATTTTGTGGTGCATGTGTAAGTGGCAAATATCCACAGCATTCACCTTCTGGTTTTAATCCTTAATGTTTACACATATGAATAAACTTATGTAGGTAGGCAAAGTAATTACAATGCCGGCATGCTTTCTATACCAGCCCTTTTATTTGTAGTTCCCATTTGTGGTTTACTGGTCTTACAAGTCACTGCATGAGTAAGTCTGTTCTTGACTCAGCTGCCCACCAACCTGTAATGAAGCAGAGCTCTTTGTGACAGAATGTGGTTTATTTTTGTAAGTGCATTACAAGAGCTAGGAATATATTGTTTTTATCTTCACTTGAATCAAGACCTAAAACCAAGGCTATGACCATCTGTGGTCATTTAAGATGTCATTGTGTGTTTTTCAGGAGGAAGAACATTAGCTCAAAA